TGATGGAGAGGTTACCTTGGGAGTTTCCTGTCCCCTCAATGTGTCCCCTGTTTGTGGAAACCTGTTAAATTGCCATTGGAGGCAGCAAAGAATCGATCCCTCTGTGGGTTTCTGAAGCAGATGAGATTATGAAGGATTGACTGCCTCGGGAGAATTTGTTTTTTGGGAAACATTTTGGATATTTTTTGGAGGAGGTTGGGATGTTCTGTGTATGTTTATCTAATGTTTCATGCAGTGGCTTGTGGGGAGTAACAGGTTTCTAAGGGGGTTGGAGCGGCCAGTAGTGTATAAGTGTAGAAATGTCACTTTGTTACCACTTTCACATTTTTTTTAGAGACCCAAGAGATACACAGCTCAAATGTCAATGTGAAAAGATCCTCTTAGACCCTGTAAGACAACCCTGGTAAGTGTCAGGCTGAATCTATCCATCTACTTTCGCCAGCTTTTTGTCCAGTTTGTGGTGGCAACATGAAGAGGTAGTCAAAAGAGACAAGCTCTGCACAAGATTGTTGACATCGATGCATTTCTCTTATGGAAGACTACATTATCAGTTGATGATTTATGTACATTTATGTATCAGAAACAAGATGTTCATGTCATAGAGCCAACATCTTCAAAGAATAGGTTCAACATTTAATGAACCCATATTGATTTTACGAAATCCGCGGTTTGATAATGTCACAATTTTATAACTGTAAGAATTGTAAAAACCAGGATATCTAACTATGGTGTCCTGCCTCTTGCGAGTCACGTAATTTGTATGTTGACCGTGTGTTAAAATCTCTCACAAGTCACGGGAACTGACTTAACCTTAACCTTATTTCCACCAGTGCTGGACTTCATCGAGGAGTTTACAGTAAGAGGAGAAATCCTTGATTACTTTCGGTTTCCGACCAGCTCCGTAGTAGCAACTGGCACACGCACACAGACACACAGACACACAGACACACACTTCTCTCTCTGTTGGTCTTCATATTAACTATTATAAAAGTAGCCAGGAGTTTAAATAACCTATACTGGAGGTAATTATAGTATAATAAGGACATGAAGAATGTGGCTTGAACCAGGACAGTTTACCTCTTCACTTTTGCACAAATAGTCAACACTTCGCTCCCAAAACAACTTGACTTGCTGAAAGTAATCGAAACAAGTCACACTCCCTGATGACATAATAGTATCCAAGTCCTCTTTAAAGAGTCAATCGCAGACTGTTCATATTTGCAGAACTGGCCCCACTGTTGTAGTAAAGCCAGAAAGTAAACCTGTCGGATTGTCTTCTGGTTTATAGTCACAGTACAGAAGTGTTTTTGGTGAAATTGGTCTCATGCACCATTGATCCCATTATACTGTAATAACACTAGGTTGTAGGTTTGGATAGAGTTAATGACTTCATCTCAGCCACCACCTTGTCATAACCTGCAGGCCGGTGCTACATCAACAGAACCTGTCAGCGCCATTGCTCGCTTGAGTCACAAATACACTGGTGCACACACATTGAAAATACAGTTGTTTAAAGGAAGAAAATGTATGCGACAGCAGGACCCCACGCACTGAGGCCTGTGTGCAGTGTCGACAGCCAGTCTTTAGAGGTTATTGAGAGAAGTGCTTACAGTGTTGGACAAGCTCAACGAAAACCTGCCAAAGTCTCCTGTCAGGGTTTGAGAATCACGGTGTTGCAATCTCATTAAGCGAACAAGGCCTTTCAGTCAGCTCCAGAGAGAGTGGGGAGCAGCTTGGTTTTTTGTTTTGTTTTTTTCACATCCCTCTCTCAGTACATTAATTGCTCATTTCAGCAGAGGATAGCAGGTTAGGTAAATAGGTTCATTTTTCAGAATGTTTCCTGATTTCTGCTTGTTTATGTGGTGAACACACCTGCAACATTTTATTACTATTTTTGGTGTTTTCCCTCTTGTTTTTAATATATAATTAAATTCTTATTGTTAGCTAAAATTGTTATCTCCACCAAGTATAAGTATTTATACATAGGAAAATGTTTGAAGGGAGCAGCAATGACGATTGAAATGAAAGAGTTATTGCCAGTAATGGTAGAATATGTGATATCAAGCAGTCTTGTTATAATTATAGACCATGATCAGCTGCCACCACTGTTTTCATCCATATCTGTTTGTTGGTTTGCTTATCGGCAGGATTACACAAAAAATACTTAACAGATATCCGTCAGATTCATACATATTTTGACATTTTCACCAATTTCCCAGGAAATAACTAATGGATCTTGATGTAACAAATCTGTCATATCCAGAGGACTGATGTCTCTGAGTGTGTGAATCTGGATCTAGTGAATTTAAATGTGATTTCATAGGAGTAGGCTTTTTCAGCCGCTGTATGGTAAAAATAGGGCTAGAAACCTGTAACACAGTGCAGCTCAGATAACATGATGTGGCCTCAGCTACAAGTCTTGTCTGAAACTAAAGAGACTGTTGTGCTTTGGCCGATGTGCTCTACTGAGTGCCAATCTTTTTATTAGGAAAAAAGAAACTAAACAAAGAAAACTCCAATTAATAAATAAAAGTTTTCGTTGAAACTGTCTGTTACCCCATTGCAGAATGATGATCATACAGTACCCCATGGTTAAGCATATGTTTGAGTCTTTTCCTGCTGTGGAATGATTCATGGATATCATTGATCGGGAGGCAGCTGGACGTGTAAGGAAGCAGAAGGCAGCACAGCAACCCTGCTACTGTGTGAACCTACCAGTGCTTTTTATTCACATTTATTCATCTAAAGATAAATGTGGCGAGATGCTGTTGACGAGCCCCACCCTGCTTCTTTCTCACTTAATTACACACATGCACAGTCACATTCAGAACAATTTTTCTGTTCTTTGCCACTGAGTAGCTCTGCTGGACCAGATAAGAAGGTCATGGAGAACAAGAAAAAAAGACTAGATGTGAATAAATGGATAAAAGTGTTAAAATCAACTTGTCTGTGACACCAGGGTCAGTTGACACCAGCGGCTGCAATTTCCTCAGCTTTTGCAAAAATCAACCTTTGTTCCCCTGATCTCCAGCTTCATTAATGAGGCTGCCTTTGTTTGTATGTAACTGAGGCAGCATTCAAATATTGTGATTGTGGAATAATGAGTCCACATTATTGTGGCCTCAGCTGTCATCACTTTGAAGAATCTGCTTAACACTCTCAACTCTCAGGAGATCAACCTAGACGTCCAGCTTTTCTCAGACCTTCACCACACATCACCTGCAGGAAATAATAATAATTATTATTATGTCTTTTAATTATGTGTGTCTAACTTTTTTTTTCTGACACAGAATTAGTTTGCTACAACAAATTGTTGGAGATTGTTTTGTAAAAAATGATTATATTGGGCCAACATTGTTATTTAAATATATTACAATTAGGGCTGAAATTAACAAATATTTCCATAATCGATTAATGGCTCAGTTAAGATTTGGTGTAAAAATAAATATCATGCATCATGTCCAGGTTTTTCTAATAATAAATCATAAATACATAATCATTTACCAGATACACAATACGCAAATATACAGTATTGTTATATATTTAGACCATAAACTGTACATACAGAATGACGACAGGACGGTACCCCAAAAGTGAATGCAAAAGGTGATAAACCCTGCCTTCTCCATGTTAGTCAATGAGACACAAACCAAAGTCAAAAAACATTTGAAATTGTTTCTGTCGTTTTAGGTGGTTCTTATGACACACAGATGTTTGCCATCTTCCAGAAAGTTTGGTTTTATTAGTTATTTAATGCTACAAAAAACTGGTTGACAGCTTAGACTGTCTCACGACTGTTCGAGTCCGTATATCGGCGGCGGTACCTTGATATCACGTCTGAGCATACTTGTTGAAATAGTACTTGTTGCTCATGAGGAAATGTATATACTTCACACAGTTACACATAAGCAAACCCTGAATAGTAATGCAGTCTTGAGAGTGTCGCACAGAAACTGTTTTACATAACAAAAAGGGCTCCTTCACCATTTGAGTGCATGTTTGTGTTGTATTGACAGTTTGAAGTGTGCCAGGGTAGCTTATTTTATAAGAGACAGACAGGTGAGAATGATGCTTTACCTTTTTTCTGTGTACGTTTTAAACTCGGCATTCTCTCACTCTGCCATGCACAAGCTGTTCTCTAAAAAAAAAAGGGCTCTTAATGTAATGAGTCCTTTCAAACATCCAAGGAAACATTTGCTCCAAAAGTAGGCCAGTAAAATAATTACTCAGATGAATAAAAAGGAACTGAAACAAGAGGGAGAGGAGAAGAAGGAATAACTTGAGAGCAGGGGCGAATAGGTTTGTTTGATATACATTCAAAATCATAAATATATGAGAGTCTCGCCCATTCTCTACCCTCAACACATGCTGGGACTGAATTAATTTGACTCCCTCCCTTCTTATCTTTGCGAACTGCAGGCTTAATAGGCATAATAGCATATGGCTGATTTGAACACAACAAACCGCTGAACATATTGTAAAGATCTTGTGAAACAAGCAGCCTCATGTATCTGAGACCAATGAATCTTAGTGCACCGAAGAGCTGTGGCCTGCGCGCAGCACAGAAAGGTTGGGTTGACCGAGCCAACCGGGGAGGGTTCCACCAGAACACTACTCATCATGTCAGTAACCATGGAGATATAAAGTCGAGCCGAGCAGAGCATTGATCATTCTCTGTGCTGTCATCATTATCATCCAAATAATCCCCCCTTCCCTTAGGCAACTCTCACCTCTACTACCCTTCACACATGTACTCTGACACTCTTTATCAACATCCATATGAATTTCTCTCTCTCTCTCTCTCTCTCTCTCTCTCTCTCTCTCTCTCTCTCTCTGTCTGTCTGTCTGTCTGTCTGTCTGGTTCATTTTGATCTTGTCCGTTAGATGTTATTGTTATCGAGCATCTGCTTTTACGAGTCAGTTTTGTTTTTTAATGTACGCTGTAACCACCACCTCATTTGCCACAAGGATATAAGCTGAGCTCTCCTTCTTCCCTCCAGACACACCATTCAGAGAAGGTCAGGAGAAAGACCTGAAGGTAGCCTTGAAGGGGATGGATCCCTCCATCCCTCTGGTGTTTGTCAGTGGGAACCATGACCTGGGCAACACACCCACCCCGAGTACGGTGGAGCAGTATTGCAGTGCATGGGGGGACGACTATTTCAGCTTCTGGGTAAGCAGACACCTCCGACATTAAAGGAGACATATTATGCTCATGTTCCTAATTTTAATTTGTGATATTACATGAAAGGTTTACATACTTCTAGGCTCCCCTCCCGATAAAGTCCAGCCTTCTTTGATTGGCCATCCTTGCCACTGTGTTGTGATGGTCAACCACCTCCAGGGCATGTAGGAAATAGGAATAGGAATTTGACACCGCTCTTGCTTTACCTGTGTTTGTCAAGGGGGGTGCCACTAGGCGTACATTATGTAAATGTCACAGGGAAGAGGTGTTTCAGGAGAAGTTTGCTGTGGAAGATAGGAGCTCCCTTTACCGTGGACTTTGGGCTTTTTAACTGTGCTGACCTTTTACATGCACAAACTAGAATGGCTCACTGAATGTTTAACTTAATCTCAGTAGAGCACATACCTCCCCCAAGGCCCAACACTCCCTTAATTTCAGTCAAGCTGCACCAAATTTCACACATTCACAGATATCAGTCCTCAAAACGTGATTTTTGTCATCAAGATTAATAAAAAAGAAATTCAGACTGAAGAACTAAAAGAAGCTTAACTGCAAACTGAGCAGGATTAATCATGAGTGAAGAGAGAAGTAAACATAAATGATAATTGAATGTAGTGTAGACCGACAGTGACACCACACAAAATAACTACTCCAGAAAAATATTCAATATTATTTGTGTGTTTTGCAGCTAACTTTGATGGAGACTCACTGATCTGAAGTGCAGTAATTCATTAGAGATACGATCGTCTAGTTTAAATGGATGTCAGTGTTTATTCCGTCAGATATAGAAGTATCTGATTTGTGCAATTATTCCTCCTTTTATTAGTTCCTGGTCCTTTTTACATAGCTGCACCCTTGAAAAAAGGCTATGAGCCCCCTTTTACTCCAGGGCCCCATTCGCTTTGCTCACATGAATAAATGTGTATAGCTGCTAGTAGTGTCATTTTCCAACTACGATGATTCTTCACTGATTTCCTGTGCAGATAGGACAAATAATAATAGGTTGCTGAAATGTCAAGTTGGTGAAAAAAAGGTACTGTAAAAATAGACCTTTTTCTTACAACTGTTCAAATTGTTATATTTAGAAAAAAGAATGAAGTGTAGGTAACTATCATCTACCACATCTCTCTGTCCTGTGGTCTCAGGTGGGCGGCGTCCTCTGCCTGGTTCTGAACTCCCAGCTGTTCTACGATGCCTCAGCCTGCCCTCAGCTGAAGGAGGCCCAGGAGATGTGGCTGGAGGAGCAACTGAGCAGAGCCTCCTCTTCAACAGTAAGTGGGCATCTACGACATGGTTCTATCCTCATCTGATTTATAAAAGAGTTCAGCGAGATAATGCCGTCTTTTGCTATGTCTGGACCCCGCGGTTTTGATAATTGCCTCTTGTCTGCAGCCATGTGACGCAACAATTGAATTTTGATGCTCTCTTCCCTCACATCTGTCTCTGTGTTCAGGAACCAAAACCCAAACACGTCCTGGTGTTCCAGCACATTCCTCTGTATCTAAAGAGCCCTGAGGAGGAGGACGACTACTTCAACCTGCAGAGGGTCGTCAGACAAAACCTGCTGGACAGGTTCAAGAAGGCAGGTAAGAGAACAGCAAAGCATAAATCCTGGGTCAATTACACCTTTACATTTGGTTACTTTTGCTTTAAATGAGTCAGCTTACAGAGAATGAGCAAGATTGTATGCAGTATTTAGTTCAACGGCACTTCAACATGATATACCTTGTTTCTGCTTTCTCTTTTGACGCCAGTTTTGTGTTATTTGCCCTCAATTGGAGGCCACCGAAGAGACCATTCTGTTTTATTTTTTGAAAAGTCAAGCAGCTATGTCATCCAGAACCCTGAAATATCAGCAGCATTTTCTGTGATCATGGATTTAAGCGGCTGTGAAGTGCTCTTAAATGTCTTGTCTTAATAATTCTTGGCAAATATTCCTGTTTAACCTTCTCATTTCAAGCATATCTACCTAACGCAGAGTTAAGATCCCAGCCCGGAGGATTAATATGTCATTAGCCAGATGCACGGGAGGAGCTTTTGTCACCCACACAAACAACACAGGCATAATTAAATTACAGAATACATTGACATCCTATAAGTAGAATAATTCCATAATTAAAATTCTCTGTTGCGAGCTTAGAGGAGTGTGATACAAGGGTACCACGCAGAAAAACTCTCACAAGGACAATAAGTCTGGAAGTAGGCAATAACTAAACACATACAAACACATCCAGTCACACACACATCACTCCATGCAGCCATTTCTGCACAGCTGATTGACAGGACATCTCATATGGTCTCATGCCATGCTCCTCAATCATGCATCAAGGTGACTGGCGGGGGATGGTATTAATTTCATTATCCAACCATTATTCCCGCATGTACTTAACCATGTTGGCCCGTTTTGGTCTTCTGACCCTTTCTCTCATAATTGATTGCTCCTCTAAGGGAACACTGGTTAAAGATTTAAAGGGCAATCCATACAGACTTTCTATATGGAGGAATGGAGCATGTTACTGTATGTGCAGAACATGCATGGGAAAGTGTCCTCTCTCATTCACAATCTTGTTAACACCAGTTCTTGTCCACAATTATAAATTCAGAGTACACACCCAACATGTACTGAATGAACTATACATACACTAACATGTACATGGTTTTTAATAATTGATGACAGATAGGCTGCCGCTCTCTGTAAATCTGTGTACACTACATGATTTTCTCATGTTTGCATGGGTTTTATGTGTGGTATGTACACTATATGGCACTTCTTACTACAGCCAGAGAAAGGATGGGATTGCTGTGATTTACTGCATCTACATTTGGAGCTGTCATATTTGTTTCATCAAGTTTGTGAATCTTCTGTGTCCAGTCCTATCCCATAGATTGGTCACGGTACAATGTCACAGTAAAGTTATCCTAAGCTTTGGCATTTTTATGGGAATTAATTAAGAATTAAGATACTAAAGGCTCTATTTTAACGATCTTAGCTCATTGTTTAAAGTGCAATGAAAGTGGATTCAGGACGTGTGCAGTTTAATGGTGCTGCGCCAGCCACAAAGTCTCTTAATTAATCATGGGTGTGCTTTTGGGGTAACATGCAATAAAGAACTAAGAGTGCCATCTCCCATTCCCTATAAAAGCCAGGTGCTCCTGCACATTGATGGATTAGTATTATGATGCAGCTTCTCCAGGTAGCAAGAGATGACTCTATTCCGCAGGGAAAACTCCTGTGTGAAGTGAAAATGCATGATCACTTCATTCATGTGTGTGTCATCCAGAGTGTACATGCACGGCACGCCCTGTCTATGTAGGTGTATATTACTATTTTGATAATAAGCTCAGTGAAATACTACAAGGTAGCCACTTAAGATGGAAGACAGCTCCCCAAAAGTGGAGCCAAAGCATCTTGATTGCCACCTGGTGGTTGGCTGCAGTAGAGGTCATAAATCTGTGCTACTTTATGGATGGACATGGATAGTTAGAAGAAGTGGAGTCAATGTTAATGTGCAGTCTATGCTTTATAACGGGTTTTTGTGGGTCAAACACATTATTCCTTTCCATTACCTCAATGGCCTATTTTCTTTCTAAACAATGTGGGCACTGGAAGGGAAAAATTACTGTTATGAAATAATCGAGCAAAGACACTTGCATCAGGTGTTGGATGAAACCGTTAGTCTCTCACATCAAAAGAAATTTCGAACCTTTCTTACTTGAAGTAGTAAGAAAGGTTATGTTACAAAAAAGCTGCACAGCTTTGTCGCGGGAGCTCTTCATAAGTCAGCTGAATATAAGTATAAAATTTGAGTAATCTGATGACTCCACAAAAAATCAGAAATCACATAAAAAAGAATCCAACCAGTCATTGTTGAATAATACAGACTCTGTCTCTTAGTTCTCTCCTCTGGTTTCTCTCTCCTGCTGCCTCTTCTCTCTCCTTCATCTCCGACGACAAGTATCTTGGTGATGACTGATGCTGTAACATCTGTACCCTGAATCTACTGGAGTCTGTCCTGCAGGCATGCTTGTAAAAGAGACTGTGATCAGCTCTGCACTCTGTGTCAGTCTACGACAGAGCCGCAACTGTACATCACTACCTTATACACCACAATCATGAGGGTCACTGTAAGGGCAGGAAATTATTCATGGCCCTTTTTCCACTAGCATGGATCATTTTTAGCCAAGCTTACAGCATTACGTTGTGGAGAGAATGTCACTTGTTTGGTAGTTGGATCCACCATTTTAGCTCAAAGAATTGCTGTACCTGTACACAGCATCTCTTTACTGCTTGCATGGCTGTAGAGGCTTCACCCGGATTTTTATATTTTATATAAGGAATTATTTAGGAATTTTGTCACAGAAACTAAACTAGAAGGGCACTCAGAGAGAGCATGACTCCCCCAATACTGATTAGAGAAGGTGTGTGTGTGTGTGTGTGTGTGTGTGTGTGTGTGTGTGTGTGTGTGTGTGTGTGTGTTAAGTACTTCATGGTTGTG